TGTCCTTCATCGAGACATCAGCGCAAATAATATCATGATCAGCATCGATCCAGCGAAGGAAAATGGCGCCAAGGGTTTTCTGATTGATCCAGAATTAGCATTTATTCCAGAAATGTCGAAGAAAGAACTAAAGTACCTTACGGTGCGTACGTCTGCCTCCGTTGCCCGTGTACCTCATTGACAAACATCATCTAGGGAACTATCCAATTCCTGTCCATTGAGCGACTACAAGAGAACCAGAGCGACCACAAATCATGGCATGATTTGGAGTCCGTCTTTTGGACCGTTCTCTGGGCAGTTCTTCGACACACCAACTCTTGGGTGACCATTACGGAGTACGGTACCCCGCGGCCTGGCAAGGACTGTGTCACCGAGATATTTGACACTCCGAAGGGAGGCGGCAAAATGATATTCCTCACTCTCGGAAAGGTCGAAGTTGAGGGTAATGTCCCGCTCACGAATTGCCTCGCCAAGCTTCGATTTCTGGTATACACCAAGTACGTCCGGGATCCGGAGATCAAGGCTTTACTGCGTCAGGAAGCCGAGGACGAGTTAAAGGACAGGATTTCACATGAATCGTTTTTGAAGGTCATCGAGGATGCCCTTGAGGATCGGAGCAAGTGGCCGCGCAACGACGGTGCCAAAGAGTTCAAGCCCGCTGGTAGACCCCGGACAGAGGAAAACACAGAGACAGGTATTACCCTGTCGCAAAGGATCTCCTGGTATACGTCGAGCCGTGATAGGACCCACCCCGGTTCGAACGATCCTGGCAGATTCGCGGGAATGGCAGGATCAGGTTCCGGAACAGAATCAGGCGCGCCGTTGCGCTATGACACTCATACATCGCGACACAAGGAGTCAAGTTCCCGCATCTCTCGTCCGACCACACTTCAGGCCGTGGAAGAACGTGCTCCTGGAGAGCCTCTGGTTCAATCTGAGCCCATTACTGAGAAGTCAGGCGTTGCCCTTCCTGGTTCAGGCGGGGAAGCCAGCGAACAGAGTGGTTTCGAGTCGAAGGCGACGTTAGCTCCCAAATCAAGCGCTGTCGCAACTGCCACTGCATCTGAATCTATCGATCCTGACCCTGCCTCAAAGCAGACGGTAAACAAAGGTCCACTTAGTCCGTCACCTCAAGAACGTAAACCCTCCAAACAATCCATGCCTCCAGCTACCAAGGCCCAACGGCCGTCGCGTTCTCCTCTACCTAAGGCGGACGCTAGCACCGAACTTGGCCATACGCGACGTACAGAAGGGGAAAGTCCTGGGCGCCGCGGCCAAGAACGGGCGAGGGTACCCAAGAAAAATGCATCCTCTTCGAAAGCGTCGCATGTTCCAGAGTTACCTGCAAATACAGTGAAAGCAAAGGCAGGGAGCGTTTGGACACGACGTGAAAAAAGGGGGGACGGAGAAGTTGGCACCGCTACATCTAGCAGACAACTTCGTTCGAAGGAAGCTCTCCGTAGCGGTGAGTCAATGCGTAACACCGGGAAATCATCTGGTTCCGCAAGGCCCAGTTGGAAGTAGCGCCACAATTTCTCTGGGGATGGAATTGTCCCATCTTCTTCATATGCTCTCTTTGCAAGTTGCTGTGATCTTTTATAATTTATCTGCGTCGCGCTAGCTGTATTGTTGTATCTGTTTTTCTCCTCCTCAGTAATGTCCCGGTACCATGCCATGGCCCCGCATGTGAGCATAGGACCATTGACTAGGGCGCATTGGTGTCTGGGGTGGATTGCCTTGCGGTGGTGCCGGGATGGGATGCATCATCGGCGGTGGGTGGAACGGGTATTGAATAGGCTGGGTATGGATATATGTCGGTGCACCTCGATATGGGCTTTGAAAGGGCGATCCAGGAGGCATTCGTTCTGCCACTGAGCACGTACAGTGAGGACCAGGATTGCCACAAGTGCAGACACGGCGCATCTCCCATTGGAATGCGATAGTACAGGAAAGACTAAAGTGGGAGCATACAGTTTATATACACTAGTGTAAAGAAAATTTAAAGAAAAGCGGCGAAAAATGTGGAGACGCGGCCTGGCATCTCCAAAGACGCGTCGACGCGTTGGGTCACGCACTCGGACAAATCTCGCATGACATCCCGCGGGTTACTAGCCAGCGCCACTGCAGCGTACCCCAGCGTACTGCAGCGGGGCTCTGCAGTGACTAAAGTGGCCACGCTGGGTACCCAGCGCCAGCGCCACTCTGCAGTCACCTCTAGAGGTAGTCGGGTTCACGGATTTCTCCAGGCGATGCCCCTTGGAGATGGCTGACACCCTGGCATTTTCAGTCCAGTAAGGTCCACCGCCCAACTCGACCGACTCAACCACCGACTCCTTCTCAGATTTCACAGCGGACATGACCTCTTCGCACCGCCGGTGCATATATAAGTGAGACGCCCCTTTTCTCCCCACCTCCTCATAGCCGCGAGTGCAGTACTTGCTAGTTTTCTTGACTTGCAACGCGCCGTAGCTGGGCGCTTGCGTCAGAATCGCAGACGGAATGGGAGCTAGGTGTAACTTCTACTAGTCGCAACATGATATGTATTGAATTCGATTGATGACGCACGGGCAGACCGGGGTCACAAGAGAAATACAAGACGATGAAATACTTTACAAACGCAAGGCTGTCAACGCCCGGGCGCATGCGTTCGTTATCTTCAACTACTGCAGGCAATATCCGATAATCTGCGGGTATATGCCAAGTATATGCGTGCAAATGTCAACGTTATGCATCTATAAGATGAATGGCACGACCGCCTTCCTGTCTTTGGGATAGTCCGGGAACTTCTCGTGGTACCACTGGTGCCCCTTATACGCCCTCGGCAGCATCGTGCACACCTCCGCCATGAAGAACAGCCACGGCGGACTCACAGTCCTCAGGAACTCAGCGCCCGACGCGAACGAGGGCATCGGCGCGCACGCGAGCGCGAAGCCGAACCACTCGACCCACTCGCAGAAGTAGTTCGGGTAAGATATGAGCGAGTACAGGTAGCCGTGAGGGATCGCGTAGTGGTTCTTGGGCTTCTCCTTTCCCTGCGCCTCGGCCTTCTTTGCGTCGCGGATGGACTTGCGCCGTATATTGAGCAGAATCTCGTCGTGCAGGATGTTGCCCGCGAACCCCGCCAGCCAGAGCGCGAGCCCAGCGTAGAACTTCCATGGCACCTGGGAAGAAACGAGGAAAGCGGTGGCGGCCGGGGATGAAAGGTACGTGCCTAGGAGGGAGCCATTGATGGTATTGAAGGCGACGGCGGCGAGGGGCACCATGATGTGAGATTTCGAGCGTGTGGGCGTGCGCAGGGGCGAGAGTACGGCGCGATTAAGGTAGTGCGTGAGAAAGAGAGCAACGAAGGGCGTGGTGGGGTCGGAGGGAGACGGAATGTGGGTCGTGTGGGTGAGCGGGGAAGCTAGGTATGTGTAGATGAAGAAGGCAGGGGAGACAAGTTCCATCAGGATCCAGGATTTGATGCCTGCGATGGGTGAGCACGGTATGCTTTATCCTCGGAAAAAAGCAGCGCGGCGAACCATCTACGAGGAATATGCTATCTCCCTTTGGAGAGAACCGGCCGAAGGGCGCGTTGATGAAGAATGTGGTCGGCGTGGTGAGGGCTGGCACGACAGCGAACCATTTTCTGGCGGCTGGAGTCAGGTGAGTCCCCATACGCGCTAGCACGTCGGTCGCTGCTCACTGTCATACCAGAGCATCGCATCTGCGACATTGGGCTTCCAGTGCATCCAGGACATCGTCGAAGTCAAAGCAAAGTGGAACGACTTGCCGCGACGTTTGCCCTGACGTATGCGGGGGAGCATTGATCGACCACGTGGCAGCCATCAGTGAGCTCTTTGATTCCGCGTTCGAGTCCTGCCTCTGTCATCTTCTGCCATGACCTTCGGAGTTGCGCTCTCGTGAATGCAGCTTACTGTGACCAGGACGAGGACCAAGCCGCTCGTAATGCCAGAGTTGACGCCATCGCAGACTTATGAAGCACGCGGGATGATATGCGCAAAGGGGCATATCTGATCCGCTGTGGGCATTTGTGTACGGGAACAGTTATCCCCATATACCCATCATCATTCAACCTCACGGTAATGCCTCCTTATGCTACGCTGCAACTCCCGAGAAGCCCATCCGTGCCTTGCGCACGGGGATGGTGCCTCTCTTCTGACCTGAGCCAGTTATCGTGCCAAGACAATATCGGACCAGTGCTTGCATTTGGATTCCGGGTCTCATGAAATGACACGAAGTGCCTATGGCTCTGGTCAGCCTAGAAGAGTCCATGGAAGGACGGTATGCATATGGCGGCCTCTTATAAGAGGCCGCGATCACTGCTATCAGTCTCCGTGCTTACTCTCGTCCCAAGAGCAAGTACAAGGTACGTTTCGACTTTCTCTTGAAATGATCTGTTCTAATCACGGTTGTAGATGCGTTTCGCCGACATCCCCGCTCTGATTGCAGCGCTCGCCGCACCCGCACTGGGTATAACAATCAGTAAGTTCTCCCCACCTTGCTTACAACCGGAATCGGCTTCTCACCCGTCTACGAACCTCAGCATCGACCTGGACGATAACTTACATTCAGACGTGCCCGTACATTGTGTACAAGCCGACGCCGACGACAGTGCCCGCGGTCACCGAGACGGTGTCGCTGCCGTACACGTACGTCTTACCCGCTCCTCGCCAAATATCATGTACTGATTTTGATTTCGATCGCGGTAGTACGACGTCGACTTTTTCCCAAATCGAATACAGCTTGTCCGACTACTCCACGATTTTCTATCTCCCCACGCCCCCGGTGGTTCCCGACCCGAACGCGACGACTTACACCACCGTTGTTGACTACGTGCGTATTTGCCCTTCTCCCTCTCAGTGTCATGTATAATGTGATGTTAATGGCACAGGCGTGCACAACGACGAACACCAACGACGCGTATACGATCGCGACCCCGAGCCCGGTGTACGTCGGCACGACGACGCTCACAGAGTGGGCAGCGACAAAGACAGTCACGGACGTCTATACAACAGCGACGGTATTCGGTTAGTTGGGGTGGACAGGAATGGGAGAAATAAATAAATATTTGTCATGGTGATGTGCCGAAGCGCAAGCCTGCTGGCCTATCTAGTTTTTAAGGCCGTCGTACTGGCATTCAGGGTCGCAAAGGAAACAAGAGTCTTACAGTGAAAGTGTGTATCTTGCAAGGCACGGTAGGCGGCTGCTAGCAAACTCGGCCCAATGGGAACAATGGAGCTCGACTATGGGCTACATAGAGGGTCTACCATACCCGCATGGGAGCTATGACCGCCCGCCCTCGAGAGCTTCACGCCGTCCGTCTCCTCGTCTATTCGGAGTCATAAAGCAGTCTCCGCGCACTTCTATCTCTTCATTAGTCGTCCTCATGATCTTCGTCCCTTGCACTTTCATCGCCATGCGCGACCTCTTCGTCACTATATCCCTCCTCTTCTTCATCAGTGATCTCCCCGTGGTCCTCATCCTTGTCAGAGTGTGAAGCATCCGATCCAGACAGAATCCAATCCTCCACGCCCATCTGCAGCCGCAATATCATCTCATGTATTTTACCGCCCCATGCGTCCTCGTCGACAGTGCCGACCTCAGGAAAGAGGGTGTACAGAAAGAGGGCCACCTCCGCCGCCGTCTCTATGTCCTCGGACTCAGTGGTAAGGTATAACGACTGCATATTTCGATTTGGCGGTATGGAGGAAACGTCAGGGAGGGGAGTGTCGTAATACACAGGGACATTCCACCACTCAAGCATCGGGCAATGGCGCGCGAAAGTCTCGAGGATGCTGATCGGCGGCACTTCTGTGACCATCTCATCGTCATAGTCACCAACTGAGTCAGCTGGAATATAGAGGCCGAGGTTCTTGAGACGTGGCCAGGCAAGAGCCATGGCACGGAAATCTTCGGGGTAGAAGTCAATAGAGTCGTTCCTCCCGTGGACGTACATTTCCTCCAGGTCCTTGGAGAGCAGAGCTCTTCGGATTAGGTCCCTGCCGGTGTAATATCCCATTGCGCGAGGGATATGCCATCTACACTGTTTGAGCGCCGTAAGCGGCAAGGCATCCTGTATCGGAAGGGGCTTGTATTCGCCGATATCGATGCTAGACATTTCCAGTGACACCAGTTTGTCTGCCAGGATACGCGGGAGAATCGGCCATGACATTCGCCATATGGCCATTCAATTTGAGCTCTTCCAGTTCCGAGAATTCGAGGAAGGCGCTGTCCGAAGGAAGGAACAAGTTCGAAACTTCAATATCCAACTTCCGAAACCTGTGGAAGGGGGCCATGGCACGGAGGATGTCCCATGTTACCCAACTGTACGCGTACGGACGAACCTGACGTGATTTACGAGACCGTGTCTTGGAAGACAGCCGCACGATATTCAGAGATTTAAACTCAGAGATAGCATGCAACGAGAGGTCGACGGGTATCTTCGTCAACAGGAGTTGCTTTACGTCAGGGGCGTATGCCGGGAGTCCGTCGAGAAGCGATTGCAGCTTTCGGACAGCAATATGTCTGGGGTTATAGGGGTCAAGAGAGACATAAAGGGAGAGTATTCGAGAGCCTTTTGGGATGAGGACGGACAGTTCCTCCTCCGAACCCCACCAGTTCAGCGCGCGAAGATTTGGGAAGACGGGTGATAAACCACGGGCCCGTAGTGTTTGGTACACAGATTCATGAACCTGGATATAGCCGTTGCAGGATAGCTCCTGCACATACGATGCGTATTTCTTCAAACGTTGGATATCAGCTGAATCGATACAGTTCGTGAGATACTGCAGTACAGTGTTGAGCAGACCGTACTGGGTTGGAGCTGCAATATAGCAAGCCACTTACACAGGACCTTCGTCTTTTCTCAAGTTTGTAGCCTTTGCAGACGCGGAGTAGACGATGGAACCCGTAGAGATGTTTCCACAGGACCTTCAGAGCTACCTCGCTAAAAGTCTTGCATGTCAATGCTGCCGCTAACAGCTCCCAATTTCTTCCACCATCATTGGATAGCGTTTCAAAAAATAGGAGCAAGAGGTCCACTTGACTCAATGCACGGTGCATGATAGTCTGGCTGAGCTGGCGAAGATAAGGCTTAAGTGCGGATTTGGGTGGATGGTTCTATGCAAGCAATCAATGTAGTTTCAGGCTTCAGCGTCAACAGGTTGTTGGCAATACAGATTCCCTCTGACCGCAGTCTTTGCGAGCGTAATTGCCTGAGGGACCGGGCTTTTGAGGCGAATGGTGGCCTACTGAATCCCGAGTCCCGACTCAGAGGTGCGCGTTCGCCTGCCCTCAATATTTCACGTGACTAGAGCTAGTACTACACTAACTCTGCAATATTTTCTCTTCAAGTTGTTTCCAGTCTTATTGCGGTACTCGCAGACGAGAGGCGAGAACGTTCTTTGAGGCTACATCTGTTGCAAGGCCTTTTGACTGATACCCCACGCAGCCCAATGACATGCGTGCCAAGGAGAATCTAAGATCATGCACCTTTCGTCTGAAGCCCTAACCGTTCCTTAATTCCTCTCGAAAGGATAGGAAGGGGCACGACGGAATGTAACCAGAGGGCAAGAGGGAGGCTCCTCCATCCCCGTCTCTCACCTTCGCCCGCAAGGAAGCGCGATACGGCAGGTACTGCAAGACGGAGAGGTACCGATGCGCCTGTCTGGTGTCCGCGGACCCTTCGCTCAAGTTCTCTGTGGATTGCAATATGCCACTGGCTCGGCGCACCGGGATGTCCGTCGTTGAATCGGTTTGGCCGCGGGTTCCGAGTTTGTTGTCCTCGTTGCAGGTTGTCGCGGTGGACTTCGGCGAAAGCTCGATTGCAGTCTGATGATATGGCACGGGAATATTATCCATCACAGAAAGAGGTCGCACGGCAAAGGCTTCCATGTCCGTTGATTTCTGTTGCATGGCCCGCTGCTCCCGGTTCAAGCGCTGCTGCAGGTTGTCTCTAGTCTGAGAGGGAAGCAGCTGCTTGGCGACAGATTTATCTTCTGCCAGCACCTGTGGTAGGGGACGTGACCTAAGGGCTTCCCCTGCTGTCGGCTCTTGGCTCGGTACCATGCCATCAGAGCGTGCCATGGCCCATGATGCATACTTCCGGAACCTAGGGGGGACCGCACTCGCTTCGTGGCCGCCGACATACTTGCGGAATCTAGGAGGACCCGCCTCGGTTCTGGGGCCATAATCGCTGTATTTTTCCTTGTATTTCCCGCTCCCTTCCACGGTTGCACTCTGACTCGGAAGTAGAGGTATGACAAGACCCTGCCCCGGGCTCGGTCTACTCGACTCGCGACGGGTTTCGCATGATGTTCATGCGGATTAGCTGTAGCTCGAATGAACATCAAGAACAGACTCAGGTCACCGGCTATAGCACCTTGTAGCATATCTGAAGTTTGCTGACATGCGGGTTGGGGAATGGGTTCTTAGGAAATAGTAGCAGCGCTGTCGTGCTCGAACACAACTTGGCTGTTGGCCATCATGCTTCACTGTAACTCGTCCCGTACCGTAGATGTGTGCCGTCCGCCACCGACAGCATCCGTTCATGGTCACAGCACTGCTTTTCGGCGTATTCTACGTTCACATCAAGGCCGCATCACGACTCTGCCTTCGTGGGATTGCCGGAGGATCCCTCCACCCCCCTCCTCCATCCCGCAGATACACAAGTTGCTGTTGATGCTGCACCAAGTCTGTACCTTTCTACCTACGACATAGGTAATTAGCGATGACGTTCCACCTCAAATCTTCCTGCTTTCCGCTGTCAGGACAAGGGTCGAACAAGGTCATTTGTTTCTCCTAGTGATGCACGAAAGAGGCTAAAGCTGGGCTTAAATATGTCTATTCGGCTTTGACCGAACTGTGGCCTCGGCTTGCAGTACTTACTATATCCAGTAACACACAAGCCTTCTATGGAAGTCACTTCTTCACTATCAGTTCTTTTCACCTACGACATATGTCGACGTATTTTTACCTTTCTAAAATTCCTTATAAACCGGCAGGCTCTACTTCAACTGTACTTTTTTTCCCTCTGCCCCCACCATCCCATCCAGCCATACCCGAGCGACGCGTCCGGCCGTACTCATAGTCATCTAGTGTGAGCGTACCTCTTTGGCTTTCGCCTACAAGTAAGATGTTCCAACCCTCGCTTATTGCAAAATGTATATGGTCGCTAAATCTGTCTTATAGGTGACGGCCAAGGCCCTGCGCTTACGGTGTTGTCTGGACGGTCTTCGAGGTCCTGCAACGATGCATCGCGAATTTAGACAAAGTTTAGATCCCAGACTTCAATTGTTGACCGCGGCGGGAACAAAAGATCGCTTACGTAAACGGGTCTCTATTAGCTGGATCTACTTGAGGTGCGCTCACCGCACCCCTCTGGGCTCGATCCTCTGTCAGAGCAGGCTATTGACAGTCCATATCCTCGTTGTATTCTGGCTTGCCCCTAATCACTCTCTCAACGGTACCGCAGGTCCTACCGGCGCCGCCAGCTGCCAGACATACGCTTTTCTCTTCCCCGCAGTAACGACCTTCGACCATGTCCAACACAACCGACACCATCAACCAGCTCATCCAGAGCAATGTGGGCAGAACCGTCTCATCGCAGGCCGTGGCTTCGCAGGTTATCCTGATGGCGATTGTTTCGGTGAGTGCAGCATTCAGCAGGGGCGTGCGGGGCAGCTGTGTGACGTTGAAGTGCAGTTCGCTACGATCTTTGTATTCAACATCCTCCGACCACGAAACAAGGTGCGCAGTATGCCAATGATTTATTGTAGCGTACTCACCTTGCTCTGGCGGCAGGTTATCTACGAACCGAAAGTAAAGTATCACACAGGCGCCCAAAAGCCGCCCGCCATCTCCGACTCGCCCCTCGGCTGGGTTTCACCCATCCTCCACTATCACGAAGCCGACCTTGTCGACAAGATCGGCCTCGATGCGATCGCCTTCCTCCGCTTCCTGCGCCTCCTGCGATGGCTATTCACCGCCATCGCCGCCCTAGTCTGCGCGACGCTTATCCCCGTCAACCTCACCTATAACATGAAAAACTTCGAGGACTCGGACACTAAGCCGGACATCCTGTCCATGCTCACTGTCAGCAACATCTACGGGACGAATCTGCTGTTCGTGCACATAGCGGTGACGTACGGCATCACTGCGCTCGTGATGGGCTTCGTATGGGTGCACTGGCGAAACATGGTGCGGTTACGACAGAACTGGTTCCGCAGCCCCGAGTACCAGCAGTCGTTTTACGCACGCACGCTCCTCATCCTGCGTGTACCAAGGCAGCTCCAGTCGGACGAGGGTATCCGCGCGATCTTCGAATCCGTCCAGGTGCCGTACCCCACAACTTCCGTGCATATTGGGCGCAAGGTTGGCCGGCTGCCGGAGTTGATTGAGTATCACAACGAGACGGTGCGTGAGCTGGAGAAGGTGCTGGTTCGGTATTTGAAGGGCGGGCGGATCGGGAAGGAGCGGCCGACGATAAGGCAGGGCGGTTTCCTCGGTTGTTGTGGTGGTGAGAAGAAGGATGCGATTGATTACTACACGTGAGTTAAGGAGCTTAGTAATTTCAATAAGTTTACCACTGACTGCCGTTCACCCAAAACTCAGGCAGAAACTAAGACGCACGGAGGCGGCCGTTGAGGAGTATCGACACCAGATCGACAAGCGCAAGGCGGAGAACTACGGATTCGCATCTATGGCTGCGGTCCCATATGCACATATCGTCGCGAACTTGCTGCGGAACAAGCGACCGAAGGGCACAATCGTTACGCTCGCGCCGAACCCGAAGGACATCATCTGGAGCAATATCACGAAGAGCCCCGGCGAGGTGGCGCGTTTGCGGATGATTGGGTTCTTGCTCCTTGCTGTGGTGTGTTTCTTCAATACTGTGCCGCTATTCGCAATCTCAGTGCTGGCCAACTTGAGCGCCGTGAGTAGTCGGGCCGTGTCCATACTCGTCACGGTTATCCTGACAAGGGACTTGCTATCAGATCTCTGCATACGTAGGGTTCCTGAAGAGGTGGGCTGATAATTCACCGACTACGTTCGCAATCATCTCTGGTGTGCTGCCGCCTACGGTGTCCGCGATCTTCGGTTATTTCTTGCCAGTCCTCATGCGCTGGCTTACGCGGTACATGGGCGCGCATACGCACTCTAGACTTGACCGTGCAGTTGTCGCGCGCTACTTTGCGTTCCTGGTCATTTCGCAGCTGATCATCTTCACGCTCATTGGTGTCGCTTTCAGTAAGTGGTGCTGTTGCTATACGTCGACAGTTGAGCTGATGTGCCTTCCTTTGTGTAGAGGCGATTGCACAGGTTGTCACGCTTATTGGGGAGCATAAGAGTTTCAGCACGATTATAGCGAATTTGAAACGTGAGGATGATCTCTTTGCGTTGTCCGAGACGGTGCTAAATGGAGGTTTCTATCTCCAGAATTACCCGCTACCATCAATCAGACGTATATCGGCCAATCGTCGTACTGGCTCACGTTCTTCCCGTTAGTTTCCGATCGCCTTTTCTATGTCGCCCTAAGCTGACGTTCTGCTTATCTCAGTCTTCGTGGTTTCCTGGCTGTATTCGACCTTGCGCAGATATTGAACCTTGTGTGGACGACTTTCAAGACTCAGTACGTCCCAAGCACGTGTCTCGTCGATTGGACTGACGACTGCTTGCAGTGTATTTGGCCGGACGCCAAGGGACATCAGGGATTGGACACGACCGCCGGATTTCGAGTATGCCATCTATTAGTGAGTGGGAATGTCTTGCGTTTTGAAGCTGTAAATTGAGCGGTTTGTGTCGGTAGCTCAAACATACTGTTCATGGCATGCGTGGGCTTCGTGTTCGCTCCGTTGGCGCCTCTCGTAGCTGCTGCTGCTGCGGTTGTGTTCTGGATCAGCTCCTGGGTATACAAGTACCAGCTGATGTTCGTGTTCGTCTCTAGGGTGGAGACTGGCGGAGTATGTGTTGCAGTCATTGAACATATCTGGCTACTATTGCTAATGCTGTCATGCAGCGTTTGTGGAACCCTGTCATTAACCGTATTCTCGCATCTGTGGTTCTGATGCAAGCACTGATGACCCTAAGTGAGCGTTTTCTCTGTTGCTACAGAGCATTGAAGTTGCTGATTTTTTGTTGCAGCTATGGGTCTGCAAATGGGGTGGACCTCGTGGCATTGGGTCGCGACGCTTCCTCCTATAGTCTTCATCTTCATCTTCAAGGCGTACGTGAACCGTACTTTCGATCGTCAATTCCGGTACTATATCCCTACGGAAGAGGAGTTGCGCCTTGCCAAGGTACATTCACAACGCGCTGACAACGCCGGAAACCGCCTCGAAAAGCGGTTCGGACACCCAGCACTGCATTCCGAGCTGTTCACACCGATGCTCCATTCGAAGATGATGCCGTTGCTGCCTCAGGTGTATTCCGGCAAGATCGCGAACGACAAGGCGCAGCTGGCAGAGTATGGCGGGCAGGCTATGGAAGCGCAAGTGGTATCTGGTATCAAGATTGCGGGTATCGATCAGGTTAGTCGTCATGCACGATTGTCGATGTTCGTCCATTTACTGACATGTATATTTATAAAGGCGAATCTGGACTACGATCCTGCCTTGTACCAGCGCGATCGCGGCGAACTGGATTGGGATCAACGGTCAATGGCTTCGACGAACATCCTTGGCAGTGATACTGCTTCTCTTCATGCCTCAAAATCTACCTATTACGCCAATGGCCGATCCTCACCCGCGCCGTCTATGGCAGGCGTGGGCGCCGCGAGGTTCGACAGATATATGGCGCACGGCCCATCGCGACTGGGAACGCCAGCGCACGACATCGAGTTGAGTCGATTTGACGGCAACGATCAGCAGCCTCTGCTTGCTGCGCAGCAGCCGCTAGGCTACTTTGACCCCCGTTTTGCCAATAGTGCGGTGTCGGTCAATTCAGCATATCCATACCAGAACGAGACGCCGCCGCCTGTTCCACAACTGCCTCCGCAGTATCCGCCACAACCTCACCAGCCCGCGGAGGGCTACCGGATGGCTCCGGTGCACCGACCTTATGCATCGAGCGGCCAGCCAGCTCCCAGTGATAACATGGCTGGACGGGGAACGTTTAACCGAGGATATTCTGCTGGATAAGTCCCTCGGGCTGCGGGCCGTTTGTTGCTTCATGTACTACGGAGTCTGGACTATGGTTTGGCTTCTTCCGCTGCACCCTCATTCATTTGCATAGACTAAGTAATAGCAGCGGGATAGGCCTGCTGTTGGTTTTCGATGTTGTCGGGTCGTGATATGGACTTCATATATATTAATCTATAGCAGTGTATTCATGTATTCATGCGGAGTTGATTATGGGACAGCAGTGGGCAATCACTAGATAGTACTAGACGGACGGGTGCAGCTCATGCCACAGTCAGTCCGAGTTTCTACACGCCGTGATATGCTTCTGTCACAGTGTCAGTCGGAACCACCTGCGTCTATCATTTGCCTCAATACCTGCTGTCGTCCGAGTCAAGAGCTCCAGAAGCCTGAAGTCCTCTAAGAACAGTGTGACCAGTGCGTACTCCCCGGACTCATGATTTCATGTGAGTGGTAATAACCCTCGCAACTATGCAACTCAGGCCATTCATGATCAAGGGCCCGTATTGTCAGCAGGCCCATTCTTGAAGTACTGCGTTGGGCGGTTTGTGTACGACCCCGGGCCTCCAGAGATTGCCAGTCTTTCGTTTGCTAGGCCAGATAACTATGCATACAGCATTGAGTCATGTGGATCTCCTACTCTTGATTTTTGAAATGATACCCCGTGAGTCATCAGGAAAACCCTCCCTGGCAAATTAGACATAATTTTGCATAATTGGCTCTAGGGCCATATAATGAAGATAACGGGTGGATAAGTTCTGGATAAGTTCATATAACCGACATAATCTCATACAAGAGAACACCAAAGTCATAAGTCAATGTAATTTGGTACATATATACAATCTGATCATGGACATTTAGAGTAGATACATTCTACATACATAACCTTTGCCACAAGTCCCGACAGAGTCCGGTCCTTGTATCCTGCTATCCCTTCTACCAGTTGTCGCAATTACTTCTCGGGCATGACTGCAGGGCTTACCAGGTGTCGACAGTGGGGCAGTAGCTACGGCCGCACTCCCATGTTCTCGTTGATAAGCCTCAGGATCGTCTGACCCCCGAAAACGCGGATTCAGCACATCATACAAGCGCCCCGGAGCTTATTCGACACAGCGCTCGCACGCCTCTAGGCTTCTATGGGCTCTAAAAGACTTTTTCTATTTAGCTCCGGACTTCCCAACATCCTCGAGGCGTACTCGGACCCATTCAGTGATTTATCTCCGCGCACCGAAGCTCCGGAGTGACTTAACCAATGCGACTTCTAGCTGCGTTAGCTCCGGGACCCGCGGACGCTTCTATCGAGGGGCGTCTTCCTCATGCCCACCCTCCAGCACTCACTCCCCCTCGTTTCCGTCAAGATACCGAAGGTGCGGACGCATACGAGTCACCATAAGGTCAGCATCAGTCAGCAAACGGCCGGAGGTAATTAACACGTGACCGGCGTGTCGCACGGAGTGATGGGACCACTTGGGTCAGGTGGCGAAGCGTCGAGGTGACCTATAGGGGCAGGAAAGAGCAAGTGGGAGCGCAAGAGAGTCGTATGGTATATGGTATAGCGGAGGAAAGTGCTGAGCAATCCTGTGGGTAGCGGCGTTTATTTGTTATTTATCTCCGAACGGTCGCAAAGCCATTCCTGTAGTATAAATTGTACAAAGTAGCATACAGAAAAATAAGTTTCGACTTCACCATCTCAGAGAATTAGTGTTACGATCTCAGCGACCCGAGAAGTTCGAAAGCATCGAACCTAGCGAATTATAACCGATCCTAGCTTTGCCAATAGGCCTGACTCGTCGAGTGAATTATCTCCGCCATCGATCCAATTAGCTCCGGTGAGTCTCACATAGCGAAATAAAATTAACCAAGTTTCTCTAGCAATTTCTACTCCCGT